GTTGGAACTTTAAGACTCACAAGGGACTAGAAGATGAGCTAGAAAATGGAGGAGGGGCTTGCTTGCTAGATCTTGACATAATGGATGCCTTCTTCTTCTTCTTCTCAATAAAAATCACCACAAAACTGCAAAAACTCAACACATGGGTGCTTCTACGTCTAAAGGGATGTGATGGAGGCTAAGTGTGTGCAAACTCTAGCCATCACATCCCTTAAATAAGGCCTAAAACTGCAAAATTAGGGTTTTGCACTCTTGCAACCACTATGTCGTGGCCAGATTCTTGCCACGTCGTGGTGCACATGAATGATGTGTGTTTCCTCTGGCTATAACCTTGTCGTGGTGCATCCTTCGCCATGTCGTGGCCACCACAAAAACCACAATTTAAGACTTTAATTGTCATAAACTTAAGGGAATTATTTATCTAGAACTGATGTTACACACACACGCGCGCGCGCACGCGCGCACACACACACACACACACACACACACACACACACATATATATATATATATATATATATATATATATATATATATATATGTAAATTAAAGAACTAAAAAATTATTCATGAATTAATATTTTATTTACAATTTAAACGAGCTATGTGTGTTGGTTCTGGATGATGTTTCCAAACTGCCAATCGCTAAACCACCGACTCGTAACCCACGAACTCTATTTCGAACCTATTGCTACGATTAATTGAATAAAACTAGAAGTAAGCGTATGTGGATATATGCATATGCATATGTATATAAAAATATAAATATATGTGCATTTATGCATATTGTTATATAAATGTAAGTTATTTAAGTTAAACATTCTATTAATTTTTTTAATATTGCCCAAATATGTTTGCTATCCATAACTTATCTAACCAAAAATCTTATATTTCAATTGTATTAGATTATTGGTCAATGAACTTATTTCATTATGCATTTCATGATTTAATTATGGGTTACAATTTTCGATCTCACTTGTAACCCGACATGAAAATAAAATGATTTTGGTGGAGATTTTTGACCCGCCAACTTGCCAACCTAGCAATCCATATATTATATTGTTTGGGTTGGTTACTTGTTTGGGTTTTCATATCAACCCACCAACCTGCCAACCGTTAAATCGCCGACTCGTGACACACCAACTGTAATACGACCCTACTGATAGGATTAATTGAAGAAAACTAGATGTAAATGTATTAGGGTATATGCATATTCCTATGAATATGAAAATATAAGCAAACTATGAGAAAGCCCACACGTTGTGCATGAATATATTTATATAGTTAAAACCAAGGTTCTAAATAACGTAAGGTGTGACTTGGCGGCAATGTCAAGCCTCAAGCTTTTCCGAGGCTTGGCGAGCCACGTCGTTTGTAAGGCGTGACTTAAGGCGGCAATTTTGTATATAATTCATATTTTTATATGTATTTTCTACTATTATTCATTTTTATACACATATATGAGTCATGGCGGCGTTTTGGTAAAGCTTGGCGGCACATACAAGCCTTGGAGCCATGTCGTGTCATGGCGAGCTTTTTAGAACCTTGGTTAAAACAATAAAAAATTCATTATAAATATCTAAGTTATTATTATTAACTATGACATAACAATTTTTGTATACTAAATCAAAAGTTTGATATAAAGAAGTTCCTACTAAAACTTATTAAACATTAAACGATTACTACTCAAAATACTCTAATGTCTTTTTAGAAAATAGGTTATTTTCAACCACATAATTCCGCACAAACTTTTGAAATACATAATATAACAAATACTACAAAAAGATACTACAACTTTTAGTAACATAATTACACTAACATATATTTTAACATTTTTATTCAAATACCACAGAATACTACTAATTGATATAAAAAACTTTAAAACAATTTAAAGAATATATAGAAATAAACATACGAATCCCTGTTGATTCGCCTAAATCAATTATTTCAATTCTTCATATTTGAATCACAAATACTTTCAAACAAATGATATTTTTGTGACAAAGTCTTACTTATATACTACTAACATAGCTACAATATATATATATATATATATATATATATATATATATATATATATATATATATATATATATATATATATATATAGGGAAAGGATCAAATGAGAACACCTAAAAGGTTGAAAACGCGAGAACAGTTGTGAACCAATCATCATATAAGGGCATAAAATGAATTTTACAATATAATTAATTATGGATAATTTATGAGTAATTAATTAATTCCTAAAATCATGGGATTTAATATGATTAATAGATTTTTTACCTAAATATTAGGAACTTATATAATCTATTTTTAATTAACAAAATCAATAAAATGATTTTAAAAACGTTTTTAGCATAATTTAAAAAAAAACGTTATTTTTTTTTGCTTTAAGTTTTTTTACCAACCACATAAAAAATACTGACGCATTAATCATTTTATCCGAATATTAGTAATCATGCATGAATAAATATATATATTTGTAGTCATATATGAAGCCGGTAATAATCTTGAATGAATAGATGAATTAATTTATATTCATGAATGAATAAAACACAATTAAAGAAACATCACCATAAATGAAAACATCTAAATATGAATTGCTTCAATCATTAATGAATATACATTTAATCTTATGAATACATTTAAATACACATTTAATCACTAATGAATACACATTTAGTCATAAATGAATAGAAAACACTGTTAAGAGACAAAGAATTTCTAATATGGTATCGGCTTTGGCTTCCTCAGTTAAAGAGATTGATTCGTTGTGGATCTTCGATGGGTCACAGAGGCGTGGTAGTCCGGTGATGATTTTTCTCAGACCGCCTTAATCTTTTGTGTCACCCGACTTCCCTTTTCCATAACATTCTTTCTATGTGTATATTTTTGTCTGATCAAGCTATTGTATCTGTATCAACATAAAAACCCAATATTTATAAATGAATAAGACATGAGTGAAAAAAATAATGTAATATAATAAGCCAGACTATGATATTTACTGTTTATAAATGAATAAGGTGTTAGTTAAAAAAAGAGTTTAACGTCTTAAGCCAATTTTACTTATTTATTGATGAATAGATCAATGAACAAATTCATATGTCTTGTCTTTTGACCCAATAAACAAACCTGGTGTTCGTAATCTGGTTTGATAGCAGCAAATGGTGTCCGTAATCTGATTGCAGGAAACTATAAAAAAAAACTGAACTTTAAGGGGGACAATGAATCCAAAATCAAAAGCCTAAAAATTCTAGGGTTACCTTCAAATTGGGAACAAGAAAACAACGGGAATTAATCTGGCTATCCAACCAGATTACGAACATCATTTGCTGCTATCGGCACATTAGATTGTGTCGTCGACGACTCCTTGGCATCCACGTCTTTTGATGTCGCAATCGGTCTCTGTATATGTCTCTTTGTCGCAATCGGTCTCTGTATATCATCTCCATTGAAGATCTGGCAGAGAAACATCAAAGAGATTGTTCGGCTTCATCACATCTTTGATAGTCGCTTTTAGTCGGCGTTGCATACGATGATTAAGGTTGTGGTGCAAAATGATGAGGATGATGAACAGGTTTTAATGGTGCTCAAAGATGGTTGTGGTGTGAGATGATGAGCAGGAGGATTCGATTTTATTGATACAACCCTAGGTAGAAAATGGTGCTCAAAGATGGTGGCTATGCGATGGTCAAAGATGGAGGATGGAGGAAGACGATGAACGCAAACAGTGGTGAAGAAGGTGGGGGTGTGCGGCCGGTTTTTTTCAAAATAATTAGATTAGGGTTTTCTAGTTAAGTAGAGAGAGAGAGAGAGAGAAAAATTATAGGAATATCTATTTAATTAAATTATATGGATTTCCTATTGTACCCTTCTTGCCATTTCAAAGTTACATATTTAGCACATCAATTTTATAAATGTTCATAAATGGTCCAATTAATAATAGTCATAGATCTAATTATTTACAAGGTTGTGATCTGTTCTCGCGTTCTCAACATTTTAGGTGTTCTCATTTGATCCTACTTATATATATATATATATAGATATATATATATATATATATATATATATATATATATATATATATATATATATATATATATATATATGGGGAAAAGTTATATTGACAACACGAAAAGGTTGAGAACGCGAGAACGATTGTGGACCAATCATTAGTTAAGGGCATAATAGGATTTTTACAGTATTAATTAATATGAATATGTTATGTGCAATTAATGCCAAAATTCTAAATAGCATTTATAAAATAAATATTATACTTTTTAATTAACGAATTTCATTATGATTATAACTTTTTTTTATAATCAATATTAAAGCTATTGATAATTTTTTTTTTTCTTTTGAATATTCGTAATCAAATATATTAATAAAACATATTCCGAATCATATATAAATTCGTTTGTAATACTAAATGAATAAAACACAATTTTTATATAAAAAATTCAATATAATTGTAATCATAAGTAAATAAAACTCATTACATAAATAATTATATGATACCACCATTCACACGTGAATAACACAAAATTTAGAGATAAAAAAATTGAATACAATTATAAACATAAATGAATAAAACACATTGCCCTATTAATTAGATTATACTTTTATTCATAAATGAATAACAAAAAAAAATACAATGTGATAATTTTCAATTTTTCATATATATCGTAAACGAATACAACACAAACATCAATTACAATAGAATAATTAACTATTATTTTATAAATATATTAATATGTCATGATGATTTCCGCTTTAGAGTGTTTGGTTGTACATCCGCATTCCATAATTGCAATCCAGAAGAGTCTTGATTTTCTCTCTACATTGTCAAATACAAATATATATCAATAACATTAACTAAAGAAAAAAAAAATGAAAAACAATAGACATTAATCTTAACAAAATATACTTATAATCATAAACGAATACAACTTAACACGATTGAAATTAGTCGATTACATATAACTAAGACACCATGTATGTTACCCCTTCATGAATGAATAGAACATAAATTATACAAAAAATCCATAAAAATTTGCAATCGTAAATGAATAATTTCGTATTTTTGATCGAATCATTTATAATTGTATTCTTATATAAATAAAAATAGTTTTTGTCATCATCCTTATTTCTTTACATACAAATAATCTATAATTATATTTAAATAAGAAAATTTACGATATATTACGGACTTGACCAATTAAAAAAAACATCAAACCACATATAAAATAATAACTTTGGCATAGTATGATATAAATTGAGAAATAGAACATTATCAATATTAACATACACATCATCATTCACTTTGGCATAGGATTTAGCTTCCCATCTTACTGTGATATAAATTGAGAAATAGAAAATTACCAATATTGATATACATATAACTAGGGATTTTAGTTAAATGAAGACGAAAAGAGCATTGTACCTTCTTCCAAAAAAAAATCGAGCAATATCATCCGTTTCATCCTCCATAATTTTCAAAGCTTTGCAGGTTGTCATCCATACCTTGTGTATAACTACAAAAGGAACATATCGATAAACAAGCTACAGAAAAAACAAAAAGCAAAGATAAATTTTTTTTTCTTTCTAAATCACGTGATCAAAACAATCTGTTTCCAATATGAATTTTCCATAATACCTCACTCAAAGTTTATGGATTGGAGTTTTGTTTCACCTACCATTAATATGCATTTATTTATTCATGTTTTATTTTGTGGGTATCCCATTCATTTAGTAAATGGGAAGAGTATGACTTATAAATAACATATTCAAGAGAAAATGCATTACTGGCTACGTATTATTTGATTGTCAATTTAAGCTCACCCCTCTGCATGTTCTTCAAACATTTTTAGGCTCTTTTCAACAAATCATACCTACCCTTCGTCACAGTAAAAAAACCAACACATAACTGGAAGAAGAAATTGACGGAAAGGAAAGACCGACAGTTGTAGAGGTGGCGTTAGTTGATGCTGACCTTTGTCTTTGGTGTGGCTAAGATGGTGAAGAAGGGCTGTAGGAGACTGATTAGGATGGTAGACGGTGGCTGGATAATTGCGTCTTGTATGATGATGGCGGAGGTTGCATAAATGGTGTCGTGTGTTGTGATGATAGTGGAGGCCGGAAACTACAAATGGAGTCTTGTATCTCGTACCAGTTTGATCATCGCAAACATCTTTCTAATCTCGATGGTTTACGGTTGTGGTTCTAGCGGCTATGGTATTGTTGTTGGCTGCGTGAAAAGACGAAGACGGTGAGAATAGATGGTGGTGGTGGATGAACGAAGATGTGAAAATAGATGGTGGTGGTGGTGTTATGGAGGGATAAAGTTTTTAGCAGCAAATATGTTTGGCGTTGGCTAGTTGTGAATTACATTTAGGGTTTATGTTTCCTTCTAATACCGGTTACGTAGAGAAAGAGAGAAATATAGCTAATTTAGAGGACATACCATTTATTGATTTTTCGGAATTCCCATTATACCCTTTTGTCCATTTAGAAGTTACAAATTTATCTCATTAATTTCATAATTGACATGAATGACCCTTTTAATAATAGCCAAAGATCTAAAAATTTAAAAGGTCAGGATCTGTTCTCGCGTTCTCAACATTTGGAACGTTCTCAATATAGGTTCCAAAGACACTTATAAACGCGTTTAGCGGCGACCGGGACTTTTAGCGGCGACAAAAAACGCGTTTGTTGTTTGTCGCCGCTAAAAGTCCCCGTCGCCGCTAAAGGCGTCGCTGCTAAAGCCGGTTATTCTTGTAGTGCTTACCTCTATATATATATATATATATATATATATATATATTATATATATATATATATATCTATATATATATAGATATATATATATATATATAATGAGACATGAAATATTAAATTCAAGAAATATGAAAAGTTATTTAGGTTCCAAAGACACTTATAAGATATGTATATATTAGACAAATAGAAAAAATAATTAGTAAATTTTATTGATATAAGGAACATGAAACGTCGTTCGGTTTCAAATGAATGTTGTGTGAGAATAGAAATTATCTTTAACCATATCATTTTTTATGACCTCGTTTATAGTATTTTATAGTATGGAATAGATGTGCATATATATATTTTGTTATATAAATGTAAATTATTTAATTTGAAAATTTTATTAAAAAGCTTTAATATTAACCACGTATGTTTGTTATCTATAACTTATCTAAACAAAAATGTTATATTCAAATTGTATTAGATTTTAAGTTACATATATTACAAAAAATAGTGACACAGTTAGTTAAGTGCATGTTGTAATGCATATATTAATTAATCAAATTAATACTACAAAAAATAGTGACAACCAGGCAAGTGCATGTAATTAAGCATTACTTTCAATAAAATAAAAGTTAAATTCCAACTAGTTCTTTTTCCTAATAACAAATAAAATAATATAATTTTAAAAAGTTAAATTAAAATTAGTCTCATCCGTTCTAGGTTTGTGCGTCTTAATTTTGGTTTGGAATTTCGTTCGATGCACTGTGATGCACTATGATTGGTTATTATTTTGTTTTGTAATTAGTTTTTTAGCATATGTGGCCTTCCCCCTGTAGTTCGGATGCTCCACGTATTCCTATGTTTCTAGTAACAAGTTTCTAATGTGCATAATTCATGTAATTTCATTCTAGTCTTTTCTACGTCGTTTGTTTTTCTTTCCATGTATGTCTTTTCAGTTTCTTTTTAGGGTTTATGCTATGTTTTTCCGATAACCTTTCCTTTATTTTGGTGTTCTTACACTACATGTTCTTCTTCATAATAACTGTTTTTCATTGATGTTGATTTGTCGTCTTCGATCTTTTTCAATTGCTTACCTTACACTGGTTTGCCACTAGATATTCAAATATTATGCAAATGGATCCCCCATACTAGGCAACAAGAAACATGGTTTATTGCAGTCGACAAGAATGTAAGTACATATAATTTACACAAAAAATTTATAACTTATTAAAAGAATACACTCAAGCACACATCAAATTTTGTAACATGGTGACTAAATTTAAATTCTAAGGAAAAAACGTAATAAGATGTTCGTAGAATCGCAGTTCGTCATATCCAAATGTTACAGAATCGATGACTACACATGTTCAGATACGTAGAAGCATCAGAAAATGATCTGTAATTCAGTTAATCGAAATGTTGTCCATGCATAAAAGGTTAAAAAAATTATAGAAACAGGATCCATTCTAGAATGATGGTTTGACTTTTCTTCGAGATCACGCATTCCGATAGTTGTTGGTTTCAACGAGGGGTATCCAGGTTATTATTTACCAGAACTTAATATCATACTATTAAATACAATAGACATATTTTAAAATAATATGAAACATTCTTTACAGATTTCATTGGAGTTTTCAAAAAAAATTAAAGACTGCTTGAACGAAAACAATGAGCAATTCATAAGCTTGACCCTTCTCGATGCAAAGCAATAGACATGTAATCTTTAGTTTTGCAATATCGTTATTTATATAAAAGCTAACACTGATGAAATATATAGTGATGAAGAAATGTGCATCATGCTATTGAAAGAATGCATAGATTTTCCAAAGAAATTCGATCGTAACTCATTGAACAACACATCAGCTTCACTCATTATTGTTGTCACTAATGTAATCCTACCATACTTGGAGATACAATCAATTCATTATCTCTACCTCAATTGATATATAATATATATATATATATATATATATATAGATATATATATATATAGATATAATATATATATATATATATATATAAAAGTTCAAATGTTTCTAACAACTTGTGTTCCTAAATGCACCAATCACAATTTAACAAATAATTAAATAATTAATAAAATCAAAAAGGGTATTTCTGGTTTTTTTGCACTTGCAATTAAGGAAACAAAATAAATATATGTTGACCTAATAATATCTTTAATTTAAATTCTTAATTTAAAACCCCCACTTACGTTCTTAATCTCTTTCGTTCTTCCTCTGCAAATCGAAAAGTCCATTGGCCGCCCATCAAAAACACTACTACTATTTCTCTTGAAATTTTATTCCTGCCGTCACTCATAGTGTTTCAATGAATCCCCTAATTTTATTTGAAAATTAAGGTATCGATATTCAAGAAAAATAGGAGGCTTGAAGCTAATGCCGATGGTGGTGGAAAGAAAATCATGGTAGGTTAATTTCTATATCATTTCTTTATAATTTATTCTGTTGTTCAATTGAGATAAATGTATTTAGATCTCTTTGAATTTTATTAGTATTTGGTTTTTGTTTTTAAAGAATAACATTAATACTTTTTGAAAGTTGTAAGAATTGGTGGATGTAAATCGCAATAACATTTGTATATATGCAAATTAATATAGTCATTAATGATTTTTTCATTTTTGTCTTCATTTGATATCTTTAGTTTGTTATTTGATTTGTAGTTAATGGGTTGATCCATTAAAATTAGGTTTTAATCGTATTTTTCCAATCTCGCTGTGTAGTTTTAAAATTTCATTTAATTCAATCCACAAGTTATTTAAACTAGGTGGGGAACCCCCGCGTTGCGGGGGTCGAATGCGACAATTTTTTTCGTTGTTTGTTCTTTGTAAATGATATTTGATCAACTATTTGTTTTTAGTTTGAATATTGTTATGGGGCAGTAATATTGTTTCGTCATGGGGCATTAATACTGTTTACGAAAAAAAACTTTGCATTTGATTTTAACCAAAAATAACTTTGGATGTGATACAATTTCTGAAACTTCTTTTTGAAGCATAACGATACATTCCAGTTCCATAGTTACAAAAATTTACATAATTTAAAACATTAAAATACAAACAGATGGTATTTACTTTTAATCCTACGCTTTTTACGCATACCTGTGGTATTGGGTACTTCCCTATGTTCAAATGTAAGAAAAAAATCTATAATATCATATAATGCAGTACATAAACAATAAAGTAACTAATCCAAGTCATCAGATTTTGCAATAGTTGTTGTCGCCTGTAAGAAATAGTAACTTACTTTCGTTACTTTATTTGTTATAAGATGTTGCTTTAAAGTACAATCTATTAGGAAGGAAAAAATAGTGAAAGTAGAGGGCTAACCACAAACCTGTTAAGTGGTTTGCATGTGGCAGTTATTGGTCCGAAGGTGATTGCATGATATGATCTAGTCAAAAATGAATATACAATGAAGGTAGTTTGGTCAAAATTATTATACATATTAATTTTGATATAATCTAGCAAAAAATGAATACATTTACACCTGTGGGCACCACCCACTCGTTTTTTGGACCGGCTGCTCGACCAGTTGCAGTTTCATGCGTTCTCTTCTATCTAAAAGGTGGCTAAGGCAAGAACAATACACATAAAAGTAAATTAGTTAGTTAAATGGTTATTGGGTGAAACCGGTCATTTTTTGCTAATATTGTTGGTTTCCCTGTTAAAAATGCATATAACCACATGGATACATAATGAAGATCCAACCTTAATAAGCTTCATATTTGAGTCAACCGACAGCGATGTCAGCAAGTTGATCGATTGTGAACTGTACAGAATGGGATAATCAATATTTATTGTTGAGCTTATTTTCTAATAAGCTCAACATCGTCCTAAAACAATAAATATTGAATTTTATTAATATAAAAACAGGGGCAATATGGTCCTAAAACTGTAAAGAAATTAATTTTATTAATATAAAAGCAGGGGCAATATGGTCCTAAAAATGAAATTTTTTTTTTTATATTAAAAGTGTGGAGGGGCAATATCGTCCTAAAACAATAAATATTGAATTTTATTAATGTAAAAACAATGTTCAGGGGCAATATCGTCCTGAAACTGTAAAAATGAAACCTTGAAATAGAATTAAACCATCCGGTGTGAAGCCCTACAAATTCCGACGTATGTGTGATGAATTTCCTCACCTTCCAATCTCTATCCACCGATTTCACACCTGCAGTTCACCTAACAATAAAGTTGAAAATAGCGAACATTCCCACTTACATCCTTTAAAAATATATAAGAATAAGACAGTTTTTATATGGCCAAAAAGAAAGGTAAACAGGTTCAAGTTGTGACCTTGCGACAATAGCGAACATTCCCACTTACATCCTTCCAGATGCCAAATATGAGGTCCAACTGATTTGAGAAAAAGCCTACATCAATATACACAACCAAGAAATAGCAGGTAAGTGGTAATGAGATCCAAAAAATGAAAAAAAAAAAAAGTGAAGAAATCGTTGATAAATTAATAATAAACTGCAAAAACACTCATGTGGTTCGCTTTTGAGCTGTTGTAATGACCATTTTGCCATTGGAGCTGTTTAATCTCGAGTGTTATACGATAAAAAAAAAAAGCAGGTAGAGTAATTTGTTCTAGTAGCATTTACATTGAACATGGATTATTTGAATAACTAAGTTTTAGGAATTTGAACACCTCCCCAACACTATTGTACACTAATAATTTCATTTTTTTCTGTTTTATTGGTTATGCAAATGAGAAGATAAAAAAGGCAGCACACGGCGCATTGATTGTCGTAACCGATGCAAAACCGGAATGAAGCAGAGTGTTGTAACCGAGGAACAGTGAAGCGGTGGGGGAAGCGGTGGGTTTCCTGGACCGGTGGCGGAAGCGCGGCGATGACACGAAGCGTTGCTGGAGCGATGACGGTGAGGTGCACCGGTATTGGAAGCTGAATCGAGGATGGTGATAGCAGAGAGCGGGAGGCGACGTCCGAGATGGGGGAAGTGGAGGCATGAGGGGATGCGACAGACTTTTATGAAACATTCAGAAAAAATTATTTTTTAGGATTGAAAAATCTAACCTCAACCAAGGCAATACGAAGATTAAGTATAAACAATTGTTGGATAGCAAGATCCGTTTGTTCCTTGTGGATTTGAAATATCTTCTTTCCTTCCTTGAAACTGCTGTTGAATGATGTTCTTTAAATGACATTTCCTGCCAAGTCATCGATATAGGACCACACATCAATGTGAACCGGTCAATAAAATATTCTGAATATATTATAAAAGGTTTGTTCAAAGTTAAACTTTCATTATCATGTGTGCCTACATCCATTTCCAACATATCGTCATGTCATCATATTTATGAAAAAAAATGAAAAATATAAAAAGGTTGATGAAAAAATAGATAAAAAAAATCACCTGTAGCAATGCATCTATAGAAACAAAACGGTTTCCTTCTAGTTCAAAATACTCAAAAGTCAAAACCTGTACCTGCAATCATTTCACAATTTTCAAGACTTAAATACTAATGAATCTTTTGTAATTGTTTCATTTCTATTCAGTCAATCTGTTTTCAGTTTTATAAAATAATTAGGGGACTGGGTACAAAAACAACACCATACTATGAAATTGAGTTGTGAAAAGAACTCACTTTATAAAAATTGATCTTTTTGCAGAGCAGATAACACGCACGTAAACGACTTACAAAAGTAGTACCTAATCCAAGATAAAAACCATTTGTGATTTTTTTTTGAAATTTTATGGTTTCCATCATCTGTGAAAGTGAACAATCGATGGAATCTATTCAAGCTTTCGTGACAAAGGTCATACATATATATAAACCATACATATCGGATGACACGCACATACATACAGATCACATTTTACACACACACATTAAGTCAATTGGTTATTATTAATTAAGTTACTTGTCTATTGTTTAATAAAAGGTCATATACTACAAAATCAATTTAACCTGGCTATTTATTATTAATTTAGTCACTTGTATATCGTCTGATAAAAGCTCATATACCACAAAGTTTTGGTATTACCTTAATAGAGGCAATATAATATCAAGGTTATAGTGTGAAGAGTTGGTGAAGGTTGGACCTATTTACCCCTGTGTTGTAGAACTGTAACTCAAACCGCTAAAAGTCACAAACCACACATGATGAACTTAAGTAGATGTTGTTGGAGCTGAATGAGAAAAAAAATAAATTAGATGCGTTTATTGAAGAAGAGAAACAAAAAAGTTGGATATACTACAAAGTTTAAGAACCTGAATAGAGGATTTCAAAGCACTTACTGTAAACCTATGTTGGAGAAAGAGAAGACGAAATTCAAAATCAAAACCCAGTTGAAACCAATTTATACCCAAATAGAAGCATAATTTCGTTCATTTCTAAAAACAATAAATATTGAAACAAATTATACCAGTTTCATCTTATGCCATAAATCTCAAGCGACTAAAAGATATCTTAACAAAATCAACAAACTCACCTGGTTAATTTATTGACCAGGATAGCAATTGAAACCCTAAAATCGGTGAGAGGTGCCCTTGCCGATTTTTCAACCCTTCCTCTTAGCCGTAATTGATTTAGGAGGACGAAGACAGTGGTGGGTTAGAGGTAATTTGATGTGCAGGAACCCAAATTTCCACAGGCAGACAACAAAACCCAAGTAATTTCAGAATTTATACTTAGGGTTTACAACTTACCTGTCAAAAGCTTGTCCAGCAGAAGGAAAGAGTTGAAGAAATTAGGGTTGAACAATACCGACACAGGGCTGCTGGCTACCTGATGGTCGTACCTATTTGAACAGCAGATGCATTTATACCACCGAAAGCAGTTCTTACACAAGGAAAGCGCACCTGGTCTGGATGATGCGTCTGCCATTGTCAAGAAAAATAAAAGTTCATTCTAAAACCCAAAAGAATGACATTGTCGACATTACAAAGTTACCTTTTTGAGAGGAGTACGTGACGAAAAGGTCTGAATAGGGTTCCGAATTGGGATAAAAGGGTGCCATCGGTGGCGTTTCGATGAGGAAAGCGTTCGGTGGCGGCGTTTGAGAAGCAGGCGAAAAGGGGTTAGAAGCTCCAGTTGGCGGTGACTGCTGGGTTGCTGTCGGTGGCACAAATCAGGAGTCAGTCCGGTCGTGAGAACCTAAATCGCAGCCTGGTCGATGGCCATCTGCATCGTGACCACTTCAACCTTTAGGATGCGTCGATTTCATACACCGATGGTGGAAGTGTCGAATTCACATACCGACTGTGGAAGCATCAAAGAAATTCGAGGTTTTGAAGAGCTCAACGGAACGTATCCGGTCCCACTCCCTTCGTGAGAACCTAAATCGGAGCCCGGTCGATGGTCATCTGCGTCGTCCCGTCTGTAGCTTGGTGAAATCCGAATATGAGTGGATGAGAAAGCGGGTGGGGGAAGGTAAGCAGAACCAGTGGGGGAAGGCGTGGGAACGACACGTAGCAGCTCCATTCTCATCTTGGACCAAATTGTCAATACCACAAACTTTAGTGCCAAAAATCTGAAGAATTCAAAATATGAAAACCTATGAGCCATTTTTGCCAAAAAAAAAAAAAATCAGGAAGTTCAATGAAGTGACGAAGAAAACAAAACATAGAGAACTAGTAGATATTCTAATAGAATTTATTTTGCAAAAATGTATAAAATGATTATTAATAATAATATTTTCTTAAAATGGATTAGTGTTTTTGTTAAATTTTATAGTTTTATTCTTTTAGAATATACTAAAAGTTTTAATATTTTAAAGTTGATTTTATTTTCTTTATGGTTATAGATTTTGAAAAGACTGTCATTGATATGGAAAAAAGAAGAAAACATGGAGAAGAAGAGTATTCTAGCAGAATGTATTCTGCCAGAATGTATAAAGTGTTTCTTAATAATAATATTCTTTCAGAATGAATTAGTGTTTTTGTTAGATTTTGATGTTTTTATTTTTATTTTTTTAACAATTCTTAGTTTTAATCTTTAAGAATAAATGTAAGTCTTATTCTTATCTTCTAAGGACCAAATTGTCAATACCACAAACTTTAGTGCCAAAAATCTGAAGAACTCAAAATATGAAAACCTATGAGCCATTTTTGCCAAAAAAAAATCAGGAAGTTCAATGAAGTGATGAAGAAAACAAAACATAGAGAACGAGTGGATATTCTAACAGAATTTATTCTGCAAAAATATATAAAATGATTATTAATAATAATATTCTCTTAAAATGGATTAGTGTTTTTGTTAAATTTTATAGTTTTATTCTTTTAGAATATACTAAAAGTTTTAATATTTTAAAGTTGATTTTATTTTATTTGTGGTTATAGATTTTGAAGAGACTGCCATTGATATGGAAAAAAGAAGAAAACATGGAGAAGAAAAGTATTCTAGCAGAATGTATTCTATCAGAATGTATAAAGTGTTTCTTAACAATAATATTCTTTCAGAATGAATTAGTGTTTTTGTTAGATTTTGATGTTTTTATTTTTATTTTTTTAACAATTCTTAGTTTTAATCTTTAAGAATAAATGTAAGTCTTATTCTTTATGAATTAATGTAATTAGTGATTCTTAAAAAATAAAATTCATATTCTTTAGAAAATGTTATTCTTTATAATATGTTATATAATTCTTTAAACCTGTAAATTATAAAAAAAACTATATTGAATGAACCATATTCTGTAAGAATAAAATCGAAAATATATTTACTAGTTTATGTTTGACTCTCTGTCTTTCCGACAGAATAAAATCGGTTAGTATTAGAAAATATAATAGAATTAAATTTGAATTAATTTAAAATTTTCAGAATTAAAAAAAGTAAATTAATTATCGCTTAAAATCCGAAATTTTCCTTTTTTAATATAGGTTAATTGACCAAAACACCCTTCTGCAGAAATTTATGTGATTATATGGTACATGTTACCCTATTGTAATATAGTAGACCCTCAGGTCATGATCATTGATTTTATTCATCCATTGGTCCATAATTATGCTTACGGGCACACAATAGATGTAAGAAACAAAATAACCTAGCCCTATATATCTACTACTACTTATAAAGCATTTAAGCAAAAACTCTTAAACACAAGTTTTTATGCACAAGATACATGTTTTATAAGCCAAAACTCTTAAAGATGACCTAAACAACGTATTGTACAACCCCTGCATTCCTTTCCCTTCTCATGTCTTCAACTCACATGGATTGCCAACATGTCTATCCATACGGATTGTCAACATGTCAGATCCAACGGATGATTATAATGCATAGTGGATCCAACGAATTAAAACTCATGGGAACAAACACAAACCCCGTTCTTTCCGGTCCATTTATCTCCAGCTCACAATTTCTAAACCCCAAAAACTCTTTTTAGCTCTCAATCTGCACCAGAGTTTCTCTCAGCCCCTGTCACTGTTTTTCTCCATCCTCACCGATGAGGTTGACCATCAGATATTTCTCTGTGAGTTATATGAGTTGCTTATGGCTCATAATGTCCAGAAATGTGAAACAAAAAGTTGTTTTTCTCCATCCTTGCTAATGAGTCGAACATTGTCGTCATCACCACCATCAATGGCGACCTCTAATCCACCTTCTATAACAATGTTGATGTAACCGGTTCACCTCCTCCAAACCCCTCACAATCATCATGCTCCTCTTCGACGCCATCGCTAGGTACTTCTTTCTACTTTCAGTTTAGATCTACCAACTGTTTGATATAATGCCTAAGTGAATCTAAATTTTTTTTGATGAAAATTTATTAGCTTGAGAATAAGAGATGTGCTGGGGTTTAGTAAGAAGATTGGGTTATATTCGAATGGCTTGAAGTAGAAGACCTGAAGAAGTTTTGAATGGCTGTTGGGTTTGAAAAGAAAGAAACAGTCGATGCTTGAAAGATCTTTCAATTTTCAAATATTGGAAGTAATATGTTGCTTATTTGGACCTGAAGCATCAGGGAATTGCCATCTCTAGGTTTGAGAAGAAAGATACAAACTAAATTCTTGTGTTGCAGATCTGATTTTAAATGTAAATGATTGTTATGATGTTGAAAATTTTTCATTGTTATACGGGTATAGTATTAAAAGATTGCTAATTGTTTTGAACAGACACACTTTTTGAATAAGATTTAGAGTTTAAAGTTTATTGTAATAATCATATTTATGTGAATCAATCTTTTTAGATCATGATATGTTGTTTTTGTCTTATTGGTTCATATTTCATATTCAGTAAACTGTTTTAACAAGTTTAAAAAATTTCTTAACAAAGAATAGATCTGAAGGGATAATTAAATAGTTATGTGTCTAAGTTCTATGGGTAAGGATATTTTAAAAATAAAATATACAATGTAACAAAATGATACATTGTCGACCAAGATTTTTGAGGCTTATACACAAGTTGACAATATTTCAGATGCTTACTATTAATACCAAAATTATCATTAAAATTATCTTATATTATAGCATATTGCAAACGTACATATGAATTTAGATAAAAATGTTTAGGTTATTTGTTTTTCTTTTCAGTAATTATATGATGTGAATGTTAATGGTTTTTTGAAAAAAAAATTTAATTTTTGTTTCCAAGTTACGATTAACTTTTTAACATTAAGCTAATATTTATTTATATATAATTGCAATACTCAAAACTTTAATTATTTACTAATGTCTAAATTAGGAAATAATTATCAAAAAACGTTGACGGTATTGTTATAAAAAGAAAATATATAAAAGATGAATAGAAAATATAAATTACTAGATTTCTTATATCTCTTTAATTTAATATTTGGTAGTATCTTTAATAATTATCACAACTGTTGTAGTATTATCACTTCTTGCATGCAACCATTTCTTTTTTTCCAACCATAGTAATTTAGTATATATCTCCGTTTCAATTAATTTTGCCAATAAGTCGATACTTTATTTCATAAAATTAATAATACCATCTTAAGAAATAATATAATAGAAGTTGTTTAATTTCCTAAACATATTTACTAACTTTTTACAATTCTTGAAATAAACAACTAAAGTACATTTACCTTTTTAAAGCTATGATTTTTAATGACTTTAACCGTTTATATAAAAAAATTTGGTTAGATATTTTTTTTAGAACGGCAAATCTACACTACTCCTAAACTACTCCTAATATCACATATGTCTCCAATGAGACTTGAACCCTCAACCTCTAGGAGAGAGGGCAACACCGGTACCGCTGGGCTAGAAGCCCTTCGGCATCGTTACAATTTAATTTTGATCCAAAACCCTCAACCTCTATGCGATTGTATTTCCTATGCGATTGAGATTATAAAATGATAGTTTTTATTCAAAAATATTTAAAACTGAACTTTTATATTATTATAACATTGTATTTTAACTGAGTTGTGTAGTGAAATGTTTTATAAATTATAATGTAGAATATAGTTTCATTTACAAAAGAAATTTGACACTCTTGACAAATAAAATTAACATCTTTCAATTTCATAATATATGATAAAAGAAGATAAATAGAGGATAAATAAAAAAGAGAATTGGTGAGTTGAAAGCATAGATAACAATATAAAATATTACTTAATCTATAATGATCAGGTGGTATAAAGTTTGAAAATAAGCATATGAGTTCTTATAAAACAATATGAAGGATATATTCAATATAAAGGAGATATTGTTAAATTAACAATGCAAATGGTTTTCATTTTGATTATATTCCCAATACTCTCGATATGGTAAATTTAAATGGAAAAATGCTTTATATTATTTTATTGTAGCAAAAATATAAGGAAAGTTATCAATAAAAATGCTTATTCGTACAACATACTCAATTGTAATTTAAAATTTATTTGTGTTTCTATATTTACCTATGGATAAAAGATTTTGATTTGTCTTCATGCACCAACATCATTTAGGTCAAACCCTAAGAAAAAGAGTAGGACACTGTTCAAAAGAAAAAGTGTGACAGCAACTTTATGAAAAAAAAGGAGAAAAGACATCATTCCTAATTGGGAGCAGAACGCTACTGGAAATTTTATTTTCATTTTTTACAACATTGGCTAGAAGCTCAAGATGGAAATATTGAGACTAAAAACTCAAAAGAAGTCAACAGAGATGATAATTTATGTAACACCATCGTTTTTAAAGCTGAATTTAGAAATAATGATACTGAAAACTCTAAAAGCAATCAAAAAACTATCAAAAATGACTAATATATGGAAGTAACCCCTCTATTGAGTCTTATTCATTGTTCCTTTATGGTCTCTTCCACAGAGTCCTCTTCATTGCCACTATCACCCCATCCACTTCATTTCTCTTCAACACACATACTCAACAACTCTCATATCTTATCAGGTAACTTACAAAATCTATAATTTCTTTTGCACTATCTTATTTGAGTTATGATTTATTCATATTTTGTACTTTTTTTTATATCAATGCTTTAAAGTAGGTTATCATAGCTATATATGTTAGATGCAATATAATAATCAT